AAGATAAAACTTACTATAATTTATTATATATTTATAAAATTAATTTAAAAAAATATTAATTATTTATAAAAGTAAATTAGAAGAGAATTTATAGTAAATAAGCAGGCAAATTTGCCTGCAAAACCCTACGATTTAAGGGATAATTTAAAAATTATTGTAATAATTAAACTTCATTATAAAAATATTTTCTTAAATAATAAACTATAGCAAATCTATTTCTAATAATTAATAAATTAAAATGTTCTAGTAAAGCTGATCTTAATAAAACTATATATCCACCTTTAATTTCGATTGTAATTCCAATTTCACTTAATACCAAATCTCCTTCAAAATCTCCAAAAACTACTATTACACAAAATGCATACATACAATCTACATTATCTTTATGTAGATCAGTAGCACCTTGTTGTAATATATTTAATTGATCAGCTTTACCTGGTATACTAAAATTTATTGCAAAGCTTTTAAAAAATTGAAGCTTTGTTTCAATACCTGGTAAATTAATATTGAAATTATCATATAATTCAGGAAAGTTAATCTTAATTAGATTTGCAATTAAAGATTCTAAGCTTATAATAAAAAACAATTATGTACTTGAACTTTTAGAAGGTATAAACTTCTAGATTCTCTATATCTAATTTTTCAATTTTCTCACAGTAAACTTTAGACATGTTCGCTTCTATAAACAATTCTTGCTTTCCCCTTTTCCACTTGCACTCAAAATGATGTCCTATATACAAACACCGACATAAATTTAAATTGTTTCTGTGATGTAACGACCACTTGATATCTCCCATAAAATTACACCTGATGCTGTAAACATCTCTCTTCCTACTAACTTTTTGGATCAATATAAGGGTCAAAAAAATTTATGTCTGTCCCCAAGAGTATCCATGATTATTTTGCGCTTCTATATTGTTGTGCGCTTCAAACCATTTCAACCTCATAATTTGCAGTGACATCTTGGGTTCGCACTGTTTCTATTCCATATTGAATCCTTTTCAATAGTCCTTGTTGAATGGTTCCAAGGCATTGAACGAATTATTGGTTTTTGATAGGTTTCCACAGATGATAACCTAATTTTTTTTAAAAAGAAAAAAATATATAATTTGTTAGATATAAATCCTAGTGAAAGTTGGTTTTTTCTTTATTTTTACGAGTATATCAAAAGTAGAATAGTACTTTCGCTTCATAAAAGCAAGTCAAGTTGATAATCCAACCAAAAAACAAAGTACTCTTCTAGACTCAATATATACCATTTGGTAATAAATATTCAGTATGAAATTAAATAAAAACTTACTTATTTTCCATGAGCTACGGTATATTATTCACTCTAATAGTTAGCACTTGCAGCACGAAGTTAAAAATTGAAAGAGTTGAAAGAGTTGAAAGTTAAAGTGAGTAAGAAAATGAGGGCTTTGTAGGTAAAAAGAGATGAAAAAAAAAAAATTCTGGGGGAAATAATTTATAGAATAAAAAAAATATTATCCGATCGTTATCTGATTTATCATGACTCATAAAATCATTGTCGCAAAAAATAATTTTTTATGAATTTCAAATTTAGATTATAAAAAATGAAAATGGCGTGAATTCTTTGCAGGAAAAAAAATAAAAAATGTAAAGCCACGTATAAACGTCGAATCCGCTGATCAAGATAGGAAGACCTAGAATAAATAATTCGGTAGTAGTGAAAAAGAAAAAAGATAATAAAAAAATTTTTTTCTAGTTCCTTCTTTATTCATAATTTTATTTGATAGAACCGACGAAAAATAAATTAGAATTTTATTCGAAAACAATGAACATTTTGTTGAATAAATATTTAAAAACATCAACGCAGGTTGAATTTGTCCGGACGACGTCGATATGTTTCTTTGACGGTCTTTTTTTATGAGTGATCATAACCACCTAAAGTTGGTAATGTTTCTTTTTTCTCCATGTATAAACTTATATTCAGTATTTATTTATTTTATTAATATTCTGCACGGAATTATTTTCATTCATTTAGATTACATGATTTATCATTCAAGTTTAGAGAAATGGCATGTGCAAAGTTACATTCAATTTGAATTTATTACAAATTATATATTTTTTTTTATATGTTAGAATGCGTTCTCCAATATTATACTCTAATAAAATATGAATAATGACATGTGAAGTGTTTATTAAAAATAA